GTGCTCAACTGAATACACAACCATACCCACTCATCATACATCTGCTACATTGTCTTTTTGTACTTTTGATTAGTTGGTGGACGGACTGCTAACCTCACATACAGATTAGACTAGGACTGTTGTATGCTACCATAGCCAGTTCTGTCTAATGCTGCTGTAAGTGAACCAATCAGAGTACATCTAGGCTATGTAGACAATCTGTGTGAATGTTGTAGTCATGCCACTTGATCGGTACAGTAGGGGACTTGCCGAACACAACTATTGTTAGAAAATTAGGTGCCGGTCAGATACATGTTGTGGTAGGATTCCACTAGGGGATTCTAGTGCAGACACTATTTGCCTAACTAGTGAGTGGGTCAGACCCTGTTGATGATAGAGCTGACAATAGGAGACTAACACGTGCAGAGGCACTAAGGGTACCGCACGTGTTCCAGGCCCTACAACCGGGAGAAGAAAGACGGCTTATAGCCGAACGTAGAGCCTGTGCACTAGCAGCATCTAGGGCCACAGTAAACGCCGCAGCTAGGGAACAGGTTGCCGCAGCAGTCAGGGCATTAGAGATGTCTTCTGCAGCAGCAGCATCCTCGGTTGCGTCTTCATCTGCGACCAATGGGACCATGTTGGGAATGCCAACAAGTTCCACGGGCACTTCCAGTTTAATGGGTTCTCGACAGTCTACTAGTCAAATGGCGGGCTCGCAGTTCAGCCCGTTGACCCCACGTGAGAGGGAGCTCAGAGAGATCCAACAGGTCGAGAGGCTCCGCCAGAAGTTAGAGGAGGACCTGAAAAAGGCAACCGATAGGGAAAGAGAGATAAAAAATAGAGCAGCCAGGCTTGATACTTTAGAGGCTGACAAGGCTGAGTTAGAGGGCTTGGACGAGTTAGCATTGACTGACCAAATGAAAGTACTGAAGAAGAATATGTTGTCGCTGCATGCGAACGTGGACAGCAGATTAGACTTGATGCAAAGCACTCTAGACCAGATCCTGGATGTATTGACAAGGCCAGGATGTAGGCCACCAGCACAATCGTCGTTGCCGTTATCAGCGATATCAGGCCCCTTTCCAGTTCAGGCTGGCACACAGCCAAGTGGTACGTCTGCAGCAGTCGCACAGACTGTTGCATCTTCTTCTTCGGGTCCAGCGGTGGGAGCTACACCACCGCAACAACCTATTCCTCAACAGGGACAGCAACAAGGTCAATGGTACCCCAAGACCCCAATGAAACCGCCTCTTGCCTTCTCGGGCGAGAGGAAGGACGAAGAACTCAACACATGGTTGAGGACAGTCCCGATTTGGGTAAAGGCCAAGAGGACCTTGGTAGAGGACGAAGTGGTAACCGCTGCATCTTACCTCGAGGGTAAGGCAACCAAGTGGCTAGATGGGGTAGTTGTAAAGGCCGGGTATGGGCGACGCATGGCGGACTGGGCTAAGTCTCTGACGTTTGACCAGTTCATGGAAATGGTAGAAGCTCGATGGCATAATCCACAGGAGGCACAAAGAGCCATTGATGCGATTAACAAGCTGGACCAACGAAAGTTCAAGTCGGTCAGAGAGCTTACGACTACCGTTGAGAGCCTGATCCTCGTCCCAGGCATCAACTACAATGACCGGTTCCTGTTAACTACGTTTGTTAGATGTTTACCAGAGAACATCAGAAACTTACTGGCCAGCGAGGCACGCACTGAGTACCATTCGTTTGAGACACTGTCTAAGAAAGCCTTAGATTTGGAGGCCACGCTAGGCAATGCTCAACCAACCTCTCAGATTGACACGAGGAAGAAGAAGAGTCCTCAGGAGTGGAAGAAGAAGGGGGCTAAGTTGATGATGGTTGAGTCCGATGGGACTCAAACGGAGATCGACGAGCTCACTGACCTGATGGACTATACAAAATTTGACGGCGAGGAGGTAGCTGAGGGTAGCACCCTCGCCGCGGTAGTCAAGACTAAGGCAGGTGGCCGAGGGAAGGGCCAACCTAGGAGTCAAGGAAAGGCCGCCTCCAATCAGACCAAGCAGGCTGAATGGGTGAAGGCAGGTCTTGACCAAGACGTGTGGCGTGACCGCCGAGTACGTGGTGCTTGTATCAATTGCGGGGAATACGGACACTCACAATACAAGTGCCAGAACGCAAAGGTTACGCAAAAGATACCTCCAAAGATGGGGGCATCTTATTCCCAGGCTTCAAGCTCGGGAAATGAGTGAGGCCAATGAAAGTTTTAGCGGCTTCTACTCAAGATGACGTGGGCTTGATACCTTCCCCACTTCATGACAAGGCCGAAGCTAATGACTCCTTAGCCACCCCGCAGACACATCTAGACCAAACTATGCTCTGTACGTTAGATGTGTCTGAGGCCTTAGAAGACTTAGAAGGTGAGTGGTCAAACAAGGACCCTCGCGAGTCTTGGGTGGCACTGAAGAAAGGTCCTAGAGGGGAACATTTCGTGGTGGAAGTGGATGTAGGAGGCCACAAATGTGACGCCTTCATAGACATCGGATCCAGGCGGAATTACATAAGTCACGACTGTTTGGAAAGGCTGCACCTACAGGACCGGGTACGACACCTTAGTAGACCTGTAGCATCTACTTTGGCCAACAAGGAGCGCATGATCGTTACAGACTACATCAAGGACGTAGTCTGTACCTTCTCCTATGGAGGAGGCGAACTTAACCATAAGATCTCGTTCTTGGTTAGCGACGACTTACCATTCGACATGTTATTAGGTATGTACTACCTCGAAGTTGCTAAGCCCCAGTTTGACTGGGATAAGAAGGTGCTCAAGCATAAGTTGCCCGATGGCCGAACTGTCAGATTGACTAAGTTCAAGGCCAGTAGCATTATAGATACCTATGGCTGCTTGTGCGCATCAGCGTTCTACAATTATTATAAGCAAAACGAAGAGGAGGGTATGTACCTTGTGTATGTCTCTGAGAACGGGGAGGCTGTTAAAACACCCCCAGAGATAGAACGCGTCGTTGCTAAGTTCCCTGATCTATTCGAGGAGCCCACATGAGTTGTTGAAAGGGAAGTCGTCCATGCTATAGAAATCATTCCAGGGAGTAAGACCCCAAAGGGAAGGATCTATAGGATGGCCCCCGCCGAGTTAGATGAACTTCGGCGACAGCTTAAGGAGCTGACAGAGAAGGG